CCTTGTTGTCCGCGTCAAACGACAGGCCCCGCGCGCACATGTCGTCGGCCTCGGCGACGCGGTCCACCTTGAGCAGGGCGCGCGCCGCGCGGTAGTAGGCCTTGACGCTGCGCGGGTCGAGGCGCAGCGCCGCCGTGCAGTCCAGCCACACGCTGCGGTGGTTGTCCAGCTCCAGGTTGCACGCTGCGCGGTTCAGGTACAGCGACGCGAGCATGGCGCGCTGCGCGGCGATTTCCTCGGGTCCGTCGACGACGCCGTTGGGGCTCTTGGTAACCTCGCCGCGGCCTCGCGCGCGCTCCTCGGCCGCGAGCAGCACGACGCCCTTTGTGTAGAATTCGCGCGCGTCGGTGTAGCCGCGCACCTTGAAGCACTCGTTGCCGCGCTCTTTAAAGTCGGCGCTGTTCTCGAGCGCCGAGCCCTCATAGTCGAGCGCCTGCAGCGCCGCAATGTCGTCGTTTTCCTCCAGCTCCGTCATGAACAGCGGCGACTTGTTCAGGTCGGCGAGGATCTCCGCCGTGGTCTTGCCGCTGTTGATGGCCATGCCGGGTGGCAGCGCGGGCTTGGTGGCCTCGGCTGCTGCCGCGGTTTGCGGCGCATCATTGGACGGGTTTTGTGGTGTTGGTGATTGCTCTTTGAGGCTTGCTGCGCTCATGAGCTGCTCTGTGAGTTCCTCGAGTTGCATTTTTTTTTTTTTTTTTTTGCGGCGGTTGAGGGCGGGGGCAGCAGCCCTTGCTGTTCCCAGTTCTCAGTCGTATTGTTTTGAAAATGTTCGCAACTTATGTTCTTTGTGCTTGCGAAAGAAATGGCGAGAGATTAATGAGCTGCTATGTTGGATAGACTTTGATGACACTGTATGAGAGGTCACTGATGAGAAAAAATTCTATGGGGTTCGTCGACGGCACGGCGGCTAAAATTTTAGGTGGCGACGTACCTCACTTTTAGTACTTGTCCACTCCAAGGCGAGCCGCGATAAATTCTTCGACTCAACTCTGGCAACCCGAACACTCTTACAACAGTGTACACCGAACACGATTTTGAGCTAAAGACATCACTTCTAATTCAAGATTCAAAGTTATGCAACCATTTACAATTACGCCCTGTCTAATCTATATAACTGCCTGCCTCTTTATATTATGAGGAGAATCACCCAGGGTGAATAAAAAAAGCGAAATACACTTTTCACTAACCAAGACAAAAAACGCCGGCCCACGTTAGATCATGTGCTCCGAAATGCATGCGCCATGGTAATCGTGAGAATCATATCGTGCCCATCAAACGGGACATAGACCGCGGATTGCAAAGCAAAAAAGAAAAAAGCAGGAACAAAAAGACAACCATTACAAGGAAACCGACAACTGCTGACCAGATCAACGCATTGGACAGATTCGGCCTGGATTCCCTTACCAGGAACATCCAAACGAAGAGCAGTCCAATCTCATCAACAACGGGGTGATAATTAGGGGGTATTAGCGGGACTTGGCCGCTTGAATGATGGGGGTCAGAGTAAACCATTTATGTTTACTCTCTGTCAGCGTCTGAAGCTTCAGTCGCGACCTGACTTACTTTGACGGCACTCTCTTCCGATCGATCAACTCGTGGTCGCGGAACAGAGAAGCATTGGAAAGATCCGGCAATAGCGACAACAGCGCTACCATACCAAGCGAGAGCAGTGCAGTCCATCCTGCTGCCAGTGGTATAGAGATAGCCTGCAATAGGAGGCGCGATCATGCGGCATGCTGCACCAGCACTAGCGGCTAGACCATTCACCTTGCCTAGAGCGCTGGAGGTGGGAGTTGCCTCCTTGATGAGGATGAGGAGGAGGGGATAGAGGGTGATGGAAAGAATGTTTCGCACGGCCAAGCAAGAGTAGATGGCAGGGAAAAGCATTGATTCAGGGACGTAGAGGAGAAAAGGCACAATGACGTAGATGATGGGGTGAAGCACCGTCACGATAATAAAGAGTCTGAACACACCAAATCTCTCCGCAGCGAGCGGGAAAATGACTGCTTGGACAAACAGGGCGATACCTCCGTTGACGGCCATGATCAGACCGACCTGACGGAGAGAGAGGCCCAGGCCACCAGGTGAGTAGAAAGGGGAGGAGGTGCCAACCTTGAGCGCGGACACGAGTGCCGAGGCTCTATCATCTTCGAAGAAGATGGGCATAAGATGGTCGTAGGTCATAGAGTGGTAGGTGAAGATGGAGAGGGCAATGATGAAGCCGACAACACGCTTGTTCCAGACGGGAACAGAGAGCAAGGACTTTTCTTCGCACTCGGCGTCCTCCTGGCGTTGTTCGCTAGTTTCTCGCATGGTTCCATACGTCTCTGCACGTAGGTCCACGGCAGGACGCTTCATGGCATCTGAAGTTTCCATCAGCGGAGTCTCTTCCGAGGCGTAAGTATCCGCAGGGAGAAGCACTCGGGGCTTCATGTTAGGGTGAGTTTCCTCCAAGAGGAAGAAACCCAAGATGATGCTGACGAGTAGCAGGAATGCACAGAGCAGATTGGGTAGCAGGTACGGGAAGCGACCGAAGACGCCATCGCGGGAGAACAGCTCCGGCCAAGACTCGGCGGGATTAGCAAATGTGCCGCCGATGCAAGGGCCAATTATTGTACCGATGCTCCAGACAAAGGGCATGACAGCAAATGCTTTGGCTATAGAGGGTCAGCCAAAGGTTCCAAGCGCGACGTTGGTTGCTAAGGGACTTACGTTCATGTTCGGGCTTAGTGACAAGCTCGCCAACCATGGTCTGGATGACACCAATATTGCCATTGAGAAAGCCGCCAACGGCGCGACCAACCAAAGCAATCCAAATGTTGGAGGCAAAGCCGACCATGACCATGCTAAACATGGTGCCTACACAGCCAAGGATCAAGACAGGCTTGCGGCCGACTCGGTCGGAAAGGCCACCCCAATACATGCCCATGACAGCCTCGGCCAGAGAAAAGGCCGAGATGAGGAGACCAGAGTAGAATGAGGCATCTTGCTCGTCACCAAAGTTGAATTGCTTGACAAGGGCCCATGCGTATGGGTAGATGGAGGTCAGGGCGATTGGTTCCGCGAGGCGGACAATGGCTAGCGTGGGCGTTAGCGCGGGGTGGGCGTGCGCAGGGGTGTGAACGTAGAAAGGGGGAGTGACATACCGAGCAGAAAAAGCTGCAAAGTTGGAAAGTCATCAGGGTTTCGTAGAATTGCCTGCTTGGTTAGGGCCATGTCTTGGAAACGCGGCGAGAGCTTACGACAGCCAGCACAGGCACCAAGGTCGGAGGGGAAGAGTGCGTGTGCTGTTGTGCGTAGAAAAATGTGCTAGCGATTGTGCTGGTGTGTTGGTGTGTATGTATTTGTGGTGTGGCGTGTTGGTGGGTGGACAGGAAGCAGCGACCTCTTGAGCAGGGAGGCACGATGGCGCGAGGACGTAGTGAAAAATTTGAAGAGTTGTAGGAGATTTCAAAGGCTTAGACAATGGATTATAATGTAACAACGCGATGGTCGACAATGTGTGAAAAATGAAGAGAGAAAAGAGAGGGAGGGAGGGGGAACGAGGCCATGGTGGGAGCGAGCAGAATATGAAGGACTTGTCGGCTCAGGCAAACACAGTAAGTCACACTGTCGCATCTGGTGGCGTTGCATAAGTCGAGGGTTGCAGGGGCTCTGGGCGGTAGTCTGGTAGACCGTAGAGGGCTCCAGTTTCCGGCGCCGGAGGCTGGGATTACCTATGAAAATACGATAGACGAGCCATGTTTGCACTGTTTTCGCCGATATGAGTAGACTGTGCTCCGCTGGAAAGGCCGGGTTTTAGCGAGACGCTAGACCACAAGACAGGCTAGACAGCCACTAGCAGGCCCCTGATTGTCTTTTCTCGTCACGCTTGCGGCTGCCCACTAATAAGGGATTCCTCTCTGCATGCCACCCGCGCTAATTCGGCCTGTCTCCTCCGGTTTCTACTCCGATGTCTGATTGCGACGACCCGAATGGAACCCAGGCTGCCAGGTTAAGAGAGCACAATCGCACGCATCTAGTTATGCATGCACTTGTCTGATGCCCCGACCGTGCAGAATGCCTCGCAGTAGTTGGCATGTGCGCTGCATGCAGTTCAAGCAGGGCCGAATATACTGTTTAAAGAAAACCCTGCATTTGTCAAACCAGTCCGAGGCGCGTAAGCAGAGATCTGTAATGGGCATTTTTGTTACTTGTCTCGCGTTGCTTCCAAGTCTTCAGTACCTATGCGAACCATCTCGGCAGACCGTCAGGCAAGTTGCCGGGTGGAATACACACGCCGGACAAGTCCAACGTCCTCATAGTGACGGTACGATACATAATTCATGTAAACAAAATTTGTTTTTATCGCGGTCCAAGCATCAGAATCATGCTATCGCTGCTTCGGTCTGTGCAACAGCAGCGGAGCGATCGACAAGCCTGCGAGGTATGGGCGGCCCGGTTGTCTCACCTTGGCTTCACTGATAGACCGCCTCCCGTGGCCGAAAGCCGCCTGCCCCGCGCCGCGTGGCAAGCTGTCCTCGAGAATGTGCCTGCCGTGCGAGAAATGAGCTTCGTACCTGCACAACGTTGCGTCGCATATGTCCAACGGTCAGACAAAGGCATCCTTTTGCCACCATAAACTCATCATCATATTGCTCCGAGCAGAGCAAGTCATGAAGTGATCTGCCAAGTGCCCCTCACTTATCAATTTCTCTTTACTATCAACAAGGGCACCGAACTTTCTAGCGCAACGGGAAATGGGCCCTCTACGGTGTAGCTGCATACAGTGCGAGTTGCTCGGTGGAGAAACTGTATAAACTGCAACAACATTGGCGGCCAACATGGATCACCTGCCAAGGACTCTGTCAGGTCCTGATTATTAGACTGACTGGCCTCTTGCTTCTCACCTCCACCTATAAAGGTACACACAGCGCTATCATCTTGGCTGTTGAAATTCCAACTTGACTCATGATGATTGAGTACTGCTTGACCGCTCAACTCCTCGACTCCCACGGCTTAGCGATGGGGGAGCAACGTAACCCACTAGTGCCACCACCACTGTAGTGGCACCGATACCATAATAGGGCTGTCGTGTGCCCGCTTTGCTGTACTCCGTACCTTTTACTACTACGAATGAGTTAGCAGTTACATACCTAGCTGAGGGGCACCCCACCACCAACAATGTCGTTATTGTTATTCGCCCCCAGTTCCCCGCGGCCCTCCCCTCGATAACATCAACACTATCAGCATGGACAACCATGACGGCATCGGCGCATCGCCGCCAGCCTCCGAGCCGCACGCCACGAGGCAGGTCGATAATGCCATACGAGCCATTCAACACAAGAAACCTATCCCCTCCATCGACTTCTCCATACATGACATGGACGATGGTACCCAAGTCAGCACCAAAGAACGTGTTTGCAAAGGTCAGAATGCGCCTTTGTTACGCTCTGTCATATCCCCACGACCACTTTTCGTTCTACCCGGTGTTTCACAAAATAGCCAATAGCTGATGCAACTTTCTCCGTAGACGTGCCACCACCTGCCCGCGAGCCTCTTAGCGATGATCAATTTTATCAAGACGAGGCGCGCACCAAGCCCAACCTAAAGCTTTTAAAAGACCACCTCTTCCGCGAGGGTCGCCTCACCGAGAAGCAGGCCTTGTTCATCATAAACGCTGGCTCTGAGCTGCTTCACGCCGAGAGCACACTGCTGGACATCGAAGCGCCGGTGACGATATGCGGCGATGTGCACGGCCAGTTCTATGACCTCGTCAAGCTCTTTGAAGTCGGCGGCGATCCCGCCACGACACAATATCTCTTTTTGGGTGACTATGTTGATCGTGGCTATTTCAGTATCGAATGCGTCTTTTATCTCTGGTCTCTCAAAATTCACTACCCTAGCACCTTCTTCCTCCTCCGAGGCAACCATGAGTGCCGCCATTTGACTACCTATTTCAGCTTCAAGCAAGAGTGCGAGCACAAGTATTCGTCCACTATATACGACGCATGCATCAAGTCGTTCTGTAATCTGCCGCTTGCTGCAACTGTCAACAAGCAGTTTCTCTGTATTCACGGCGGATTAAGTCCCGAGCTGCAGACGCTAGACGACCTGCGAAAGGTTTGCTGCTGTGGTCCCTCAAAGCCAGATATAGCGTTGCTAATTCATGAACGTGTAGCTTAATCGCTTCCGCGAACCTCCAACCCAGGGTCTAATGTGCGATCTTCTTTGGGCAGATCCTGCGGAAGACTTTGGCGAGGAGACGAGTGTTGAGTTCTTTCGCCACAATGATGTCCGCGGGTGCTCATACTTTTATACCTATCACGCTGTGGGTGCCTTCTTAAGGAGGAATAATCTTCTCTCTGTCATCAGGGCGCATGAAGCTCAAGATGCCGGATACCGCATGTATCGCACCAGTCAAAACACTGGCTTTCCGAGTGTCATCACACTATTCTCCGCTCCCAACTACATCGACATGTACAACAACAAAGCGGCAGTATTAAAATACGAAAACAATGTTATCAACATTCGCCAATTCAACCATACCGCACATCCGTTCTGGCTTCCTAATTTTATGGATGTCTTCTCATGGTCGCTACCATTTGTTGGCGAGAAAATGATGGACATGCTGATCGGTATCCTGAGCATATGCTCCGAGGAGGAATTGCACGAAGACGCGTCCTCGACCTCCCCCACTGCTGTTACCCCCGGAAGCCATGATACAGAATCACTAGAATTCAGGAGACGCGCGCTTAGGAATAAGATTCTTGCCATTGGCCGACTTTCGCGCGTCTTTAGTGTACTACGAGAGGAATCAGAGGGAGTTTCGGAGCTCAAGTCCGCATCAGGCGGTCGCCTGCCTGCCGGCACCCTTATGCTCGGTGCCGAAGGTATCAAGAGCGCCATTCAAAGCTTTGACGCTGCTCAGCAAGTCGACTTGAAGAACGAAAGATTGCCTCCGTCTCCTGATGAGGTGATCCGACAGACAGACGAGGAGAGGAGCCGCGCAATGGCCCAAGCAATGAAGGAGGCCGATGGTGACAAGAAACTACAAGCTCTCTCCAGGAAACTCAGCGTGTAAGTCAGGGTTCGGCCTGGAGGATGCTTGAGGGTCATGTGTGCTTTGCTAACTAACTGCCCCCACAGAGAACGAAAGTAATGCACGTATGACCGAGATCCACAGTGTGTGAGAGCTTACAGACAGTGATAATGAACATGGCTACTGAAAATACTCACATTGGCGCAAAAAAGGCTTGGGTGCCCTGGTCTAAAAAGTGTAAATAGAGGACAGAACACGAATATTCCCCCTACATGCGCTCCAAGGCTCTTTTGTACATGTCCGCCTCAGCATGCATATCATCCGGCTTTCGCGCCTCGCGGCAGGCGTCCTCGACGCGAGGCATGCCGCCCCCCGGCTCAGGCCGGCGCACGACATCCCATAGCGCGCCGCCGACGTTGGCCTCCTCAGACGCCATCTTGACGTAGATTTCATCCGAGGCCTCGCCTTCACCCATGTCACCCGCGATGCGCGGGATGACGTGAACGTGGACGTGCGGCACCGTCTGGCCCGACTCGGGCCCGTCCTGCACCGCGACGGTGAAGCTGCCCCCGTCCTCGGGGCGGTCCGTCTTGAAGTGCACACGGCTCAACATGCGCTGCACACGCTGCACCGTCGCGAACAGGTCGGACGTCTCCGCCGCGGAGAGGTCGGTCAGACGCCGGTGCGGCTGCAGCGGGCAGACGAGGACGTGGCCGGGGAGGATGGGCTTGAGGTTGACGACGCCGAAGCTGTGCTGCGTCTTGAGAAATACCTAGAGGACCGCACGCAATGAGCACGAAGGGAAGTGGGGAGGGTTGGTCATGGTGAGACGAGTTGCAGAAGCGGACTCAATTAAATAGGGCGCAAATCGTACCTGCTTGGTCACGGGAAACGGGCCAAACTTGACCTCGGCCGCATCGTCGTTTGTTGTTGACATGTTGAGTCTCTGTGTGGCGCGCAGCGCTGGTCTATTTCGCGCAGTAATTGACCCCAGGTGGCGAGAAGCAAGACGCAGGATCATGCTCGGTCAGTCGCCGTTCGGAGCTTGATGGATATGCAAATGCGCCGGAGAGTTGCTGGAGCTTCAAATGACGGGGGCTGCAGCCAAGTGACGCAAGGCTTTGGGGAGCTCCCGTGAGACCCACATACGAAAGATGTCGAATGCAGTGTAAAGCCTGCAGGAATTCTAACATTGTGCATTGCCTGTTTACGAATTGCGATCGAGGTAGGTTAAGTCATGATTTGCTATTTGTACGTCTATCCCAGCATTGACGAGTGCTATTCTATGCTAAAACACGATGCCCATCCCATACACACCAACGCCGTGAATATATGAACCAAACCGAAAAAAGGTTCCCACAGAATGCAGATCCTAAATAGATATATATGTATAAAAGCCGAAATCGTATGTAATTACTAGTAGTAAGCGAAACACTGTGCAAAGAAAGAGTGCGAGAGCCTAGCCGATCAACGGTTCAGTCTCTTGTGCCAAAGCCGCAGCTTCGGGCGTCTCATCAGCAGGAGCTTCGGGTGCCTCGTTCTCATGCTCCCAGACGACTGTACCGAAGTTAGAAGTTATACATCACAGTGATCAATCAATAAAACTTACCATGTGGCCGGACAACAAAAGTGGCCAGTAATCCGACGCCGAATAGGCTAAGCAGCATGACAAAGACGGCCTGCGGGAAGGTCTTGACCGTCATGGCATAGATGCCATTGAAGAGAACAGGGCCAACGACACGGGCGAGCGCATTGAGCATGCCCACGGCGCCGAGGACCTGTCCCACCGACGACGGCGGGATGTGCTTGGTGATGGCGGACAGTATGGTGGCGCTGCCGAGGCCGCCCATCGCCGTCACCATGCCGCTGACGACGAAGAGTGGCTGGCTGCGAGCCAGCGAGTATCCAAGGGCGCCGAGGGTGTCGGACAGCAGGGCCACGCGTAGAGTCCAAATGTCAACATTGTCGGCGCCGCCCGTCTTTTCGACGTAGGGCTGGCCGGTCTCGCGCTCGCGGCGGCGTCGGGGCCGCACCCGAAAACAGTAGTTCATTAGCGGGAAAAGGCCGAGCAATGCAATGACGCGGATCGAGGAGAGACCGGAGACAAACATGGAGACTTCAAAAGTATCCCAATAAAACATATACTTTGTGTAGAGGATGAGGACGGCGCCAATGGAGATCATGGAGCCCATAATGACGGCGTCGGTCACGGCCAGCGCCACCATGTTGATGCGCAGCCTCGTCGATGTGCCGGGACCGGTAGGCCAGAGGATGGCGAGCGGCTCAAAGGGATGGTTGTTGCGGAGCGTCGCGAGCCACGGCTGGGCGCCGCGCGCGCGCGCCTCCTTCTCCTTGGCGTGGGCGTCGCGCGCAATCTGCTGGCGGCGCTTGGACAGCGACTCGGGCACGACGAGGCCGACAAATACGGCAAAGGTGGCGTGACATATGAGCGCGACGTAGAAGAGGGTGAGGATGCTGCCAGTGATGCGGATAAAGTAGCCGGCAAGTAAAGGGCCAAGGGCGATGCCGGTGAAGAGACAGGCGTGGAGGTAGCCCATGCGGACGGCGCGCTGCGAGGGCGGCGTGCAGTCGGTGACGTAGGCCTGGCCGAGGATGGAGCCGCTGGTGAAGGAACCGGTGAGGCCGTCGAAGAAGGCGCCGAGGATGAGCCAGCGGTAGTCGACGGCGCGGGGAAACTTGGCGGCGAGAATGGTGACGGCCTCGGCGAGGATGCCGCCGACCGAGGCGACGGCGAGCAGGCGCCGGCGGCCAAAGCGGTCCGAGAGCTTGCCGAGCTTAGGCGCGGAGACGGCGCTGAGCGTGCCGGTGAAGAGGTTGATGACGAGCATAAAGGCGGCAACCTTTTTCTGAACGTCGGGGTCGTTGCACTGGGGGTTGTCGGCGCCCATGATGGGGGACGGGTGGAAGCTGGGGTCGATGGCGGCCTTGTCGGCAAAGTGCTTGTTGCAGACGAGGTCGAGGATGCTGAAGTACGTGTTAGCATTCGTGTTGTTATAACAGGCATTTGCGTCAAGACTGTGCGCTGGAGGGAGGGGGGTGTTTGTGAAGACTCACAGGGTGACCTTGGGGACAATGATGCCACCAAACGCCAGGGTGAAGATGGCATAGGGCCCCATCAGCCAAAAGATGGAAGGCCTGCGCCAGCGCGGCAAGTGTTCAAACTCGGTCAGACCGTCCCATACCGGCTTGTCGTCATCGTCGCCTTTGCCATTGGGCGGCAGCAGGCGGGTCGTCTCGTCGGCGTCTCTTGCTGCTGCGTGGCCGTTGGTGGCAGGCCAAACGGTCGCGCTGGTTCGTTGCACCATGGCGGCCGGCGAGGGCGTGGCGTGGTACAAATGGCTTTGCGAAAAGTTTGTCAGATTGGTGTGCTGTCCCTACCGATGGTTTGGTAAACGGTCGTTGGTAGGTCGCAGACTGATGTTCGCAAGACGGGAATTCGGGGGGGGGGGGGGGGTCAATGTCGAACAGTAAGTTGTAAGTTGACCGCGCAATCAACCTTTTGACGCAATCATTGTTGCATGCGGGATTGAAAGGGATAATAAGTATCCGGACTAGCAAACATGGTTCAAAAGACGAGAGGAACCGGAGTAGGCGGACAAAGGCCGGCAGCCGGGTTTATCTACCTAGGTAGGGCGTGTCGGCCGGCTAACGGTACCGCGGCCTGGGCGTATCATGATGCAGGCGGACTTGTTTTGGGTGGTCTCTGCAGGGGAGTTGGAGACTTCCAATCGAGTGCAAAGGTTTTGGTGCACACTGCAGGGGGGTCGATTCGGTACCTTAGGTGGCCCCGCGGGTGACAAAAAACATCGTCGATGGACTTCTGACTATCTACAAAGTACACCACGTATAGAATAAGAAAATTGAAAATAAAAAGAGAAATCAGTCCTCTAATACTATTCGTAATTCTAATAATTTCAAAAATATTTATTTCAGACGGCTTTAGCGGATAAGAGCGAATCTTAGCCAGGCAGGGCGGCGATGTTTTTTGTCACCCGCGTGGTACCCAGGTACATGTGGTGGATCCATGCTGATTCGGAGCAAATCGCCACCTAAAACCTTTACAATGCTCTAAATTTCCCCTAGACAATGTGTTCTACAGCGCTGTGCATCGCCGTGCATCGCTGTGCATGTCTGCGACAGGCGCCTCGTGTGTGTGGGTGGGCCGTCCAGTCCGCTGTAAAATAGACTGAGTCCGTTCGGTAGTGCCTTCAAGCTTATTCCCTCGCTCGCTGATTGGGCTTACTCTATTACTTTGCCCACATGATAAGGAGATGCCGACTTGGAGCTTTGCTTTGTTGGGCATTCTCTTGCCTGGTGTGCCTGTAAATGACACGGGCTGTCCATTTTACAGTCCTGCCGTGCTTCTTTCAGCCTCTTCCCCAAACTCCGCAATCTCCATCCGGCATTCCCTGCCGGCTGCCGTACCCATTCGGGGATCGTCGCCACCCATGACGCTATGTGTAAAAGGTGATCAATAATTAGGGTGCTAGGTAACTAGCCACAAAGTATCAGCCAATTTGATGCATATATTCCTCGGCCGTTGGCAGTTGCTATAACAGTGCACAACAGAGTCGTTGCATGTCCAACACGGCACCATGCGGTGGCATGCTGACGTGGGCATGCCAGTACCAATAGAATACGCATTCGACACCCTTTATACGAACAATTTGATACTGCTGTTTCAGAACCCAATCTGGAGAAGACGACAGTGTTCAAGCTGCAGTCCCGAAAACTCCAACTATTATGGGAGTATATCTGGGCCGCCACATGGCCATGACTATGCCTAATTATAGCGCGACAATTACATTGGCCGAGAACACGGACAAGGCACACAACATATCGTATCAAATTGAGGAATAAATTTACCGACGACGCATTTGAAACTCATCAACATCTTAATCAATGCAACTTTCAGAGCTTGTACCTGAAAATGCCTACGCAGCTTCGAGCCAGCATCATTAAATATTGACTGCTACGCGGGGCAGGCTGATTGCGATACGTACCTGATGACTCAGCA